AGTTGGAAATAACTTCATTTCATGTAATTTCTTCCGCAAAGCATCATTACTTTGAACAAAAAATCAATTTATTTTCATGAGATTAAGTTTTTTGAAGTAAAAAATAACATTCCATTCCAATGAATTTCACAAAGGATTTTTTTTTGTTAACAAAAACTTTGAAAGAAAGCTTTGAAACTAAATATAATGACATCAAAAAATCTCTTAAAGCTCTTTGATTTTTTTGTTTGTTCTGTTTATATTTTCTGATAGTTATCCATCCAAACTTGGCATTTCAATTACTTTGTCAGATTTGGCATTTGAGAATATAAAGGCTTGACAAGAAGCCATTTGTCTGAAATGTCAGAAGCATATGGTTTTTTTAAACCATTATGGCTTTGAGCTGTCTTATCCATTTCTCCATGTCTCACTCAGTTTGAAGTCTGCTTTAAAACTGTGACACTATATTGTTAACTTTTAAACTAGAGACTTTTTACTTTTGGAATAACTAAGCGACCTATGTTATTTTATCAATAGACCTACAAAATAATATAGACTATAAATATTGGTAAGAACAGAATACAATGCATCAGTAAAACCCTTCCAGTTGTTAAATTTAAACCATTTACTTAATAACTTTTCTGTTTCATTTCAGAGATTCTTGGTTTACATATCAAATAGATGCTGATGCCTTAAAAGGATGAGATCAACCATCAAATACCAGTTCTTTTAAAAAAGGTACAGAGAAATTATGTTTTAAGCTTAACCTTACTGCATAAGAAACAAGATCTAACAGTGTTGTGTGCTAATCTTGCTGCAAAAAAAAATTTCTATGGCCAATCAAACGAGTGGCTTAGTGGATTAGACTAGATCGTCCAGAAACGTGATATATAGATTGAAATAGTAAAAATACCTGGATGAAAGATCTACTGCGTATTGAAATTACTATTAAGTATAATGGAACATAATGTACTATTAAGTATAATGGAATATAATGAACAGATTTAGCTATTCAAACCCAAGAACTCTGATCTGTATTCTGCTGGTTAAACAAGACTGTTACTTATAAATAGTCAAAACATTGCCTGAAGAATGGGGATTTGATTTGCAAAAATTTTTTTGATTCACCATTTTGGATTTAAAGTAGCCTGACCCCTTGCCTTTCATAAAAGACTAACGATAATACCAGTATCATGACTGAAAACTTTCATTTCAACAAAGAAGACTTGTGGATTATTAGATTATGGTAACAGCAGGTGAATCCTACTAATGAGGTAGCTTTAAGTTTAATAAGTGAGAAACTACAACAGTTGCAATTGATATAATGAAAAGTACCTAGAACTTGTGAATATATACAACCTAAATGAAAGTGATTGAGTAGTGCTCTTGTAGTAGTGATAATCTAAGGAGAGAAAACTCTTTACTGCAGAAAAAACTTGAGCTGTGTTATAATGAATTAAACAATGCATTTTACCATATAAAGAGTGAGCCAAATATGGAAGGTCTTTTAAACAAAATATCTGATTAAACAAAGGATTAATTTTTCTGGATTACCTGTGAGTTCAAGCTACCACTTGCTCATAAGCAAGTAGTAACTAATCCAAAATGGCCAACCAGGATCTCCCCACTATCATTCCTACCTTTGACTTTGACATGGGACGCATCAAAATGGTGTTGAATGACATGGCCAGACGCCATTCTACAGTCAGTGTGAATAGTCTGGAGGAAGAAAATATCAACTTGAATCTCACAGAAGAAGAACGTATGGCCGATAAAAAAATACGAACTGTGACCCCTTTAAGGTCAAGGCCGTCATCTCGTTCATACCCATCCACACCATTACTTCAATCACGACCTTCGTCACCTCAGATGAGATCAGCTTCATTCAGATCTCTAGCTTCCACACCAGGATCTAATCATTCCAGACCCACAACACCTATACCACATTCCTGGACTTCCACTTCCATTTGTGACCGTTCTCAAGCTGATACACCAGTCTTTTCTGGTAAGTTTATTTTATGTATATATCTAATACTTCTTGCTACTGTTGAGTTGGCTTACTTTATTTAAATGTTTCGAGACCAATCATTGGAAAATTAACCCCTACTTCTAAACAGTTTCTAGTAAAGGTTTTATATATAAATGAAACCAATACCAGCAACATGAGATGAATTCTGGTCAACTCTGCATTCACTCAGTAAGTTTAGCACAACTTAAGAGATTGGCACAACTGTTGCCAAGTCTTATCAGAAAATAATGAAATTCATTTTCATGTCAGCCCTCATAGCAGCATTTCGAGCAGCTCTGTTAGCAGTCTTCATCCCCCAGTGGCAAGAAGACTATTGATCTATATTGACCATAGACATCTGATTAAAAACTTGTTTTTTTTTTAAAAACTGGCCAGTTTATGCAGATTGAACATCAAAATCCAGCCCCATGTTTGGCAATTCAACAGACTTTACATGATAAAAAAGGGCCAACAAAAAATGTAATTTAAATGAAAAATCTATTGTTAAAATTTCAATGAATCGTTTGCAACCTGGATTTATACAAAACTTTTAGGTAGAGACACCCATTAAACTCAATAACAATTTAATTAATTTTTTAATGGGAAATACAAATAGTTTTAAACAGAATGTTAGATTAAGTCAGCCAAATATAAGTTTATGGCTTTACATATGGTAATTACACAGTTTAATACTTTTATACAATGATTTTTACAAAGAATCAGAAAAGTACATTTGTAAGAACAAAATTTCATTGTCCTATTTGATAAAAGTGAAATCAATAACAAATTTGCAAATAAATTTGTAGGATCAAAATTTTTTTATCTGATCTAATAAAAAAAAAATGAATAACAAATTTTATATTTCTTTATAACTAGATATATTTGTAGGAACAATATTTTGTTATCTTATCTGTTAAAAAAGAAATGAATAACAAATTTTATATTTCTTTATAACTAGATATATTTGTAGGAACAATATTTTGTTATCTTATCTGTTAAAAGAGAAATCAATAACAAATTTTATATTTCTTTATAACTAGAAAATATTTGTAGGAACAATATTTTGTTATCTTATCTGTTAAAAGAGAAATGAATAACAAATTTTATATTTCTTTATAACTAGATATATTTGTAGGAACAATATTTTGTTATCTTATCTGTTAAAAGAGAAATCAATAACAAATTTTATATTTCTTTATAACTAGATAAATTTGTAGGTACAATATTTCGTTGTTATTATTAAAGAAATCAATAACAAATTTTATATTTCTTGATTCCTAGATATATTTGTAGGGACAATATTTCGTTGTTATTATTAAAGAAATCAATAACAGCTTTTATAATCTTATACTCCTGCGTCATCTTTAAATCTCGGGTTCTTAATGGAAATATTAATTTAAGAAAAGGGATAACTTATATAACCAAAACATACATAATTCTTTCTAATCCAATTATCTCCCAAAAAAATCTTCTTGATACATGACAACATATTTAAAGGATTTGTTATAAACTTTCAATAACCTCTTTTACATAACAAAATCCGTTTATCCGTTTTTTTTAATCTCAGAATGGAGCGGACAAATTTTGTGTAGTGTAAACAGTCAAGCTTTCTGAGAATCAGTCCAAGCCTGGAACCCCTTGAGGTGGTCTCGCAATCCTTCTCTAAACGGACTCAATAAATTGGGTAATGTAAACGATAACCGTTCTGAGAAAGCTTTACTGCGCATGCCTCACAAGCAACCTTCACCCTTTCTTGCGGAATTTCATCATTATTTAGATAAATTGTTAATATTAACTTCTTCAAGAAGAGTTTCACAGATTACAGTGCAGAGTGCAGAGTGCAGAGTGCAGTGCAGTTTTCATTTACAACTCTTAGAACAGTTACTATAATGTCAATGGGCACCTTTTCATTGCGGACTGGTCTGGATCGAGAACGAAATGCTTTATAGTGGCCTGGTGTGAAAACCTATCAGTGACCCTTGATTTTATAGTGGCCTGGTCCGGACCATGAACAGAACACCTTATATCGGCCTGGTGTAAAAGGGTCTTATGACATTAAATCCTTTAAAACCTTTACTAATGGTGAAGTGAGAAGTGAGAAAACTTTATTGATTTTTTTATTGGGGATTTTTAAGTAAAATTCTTAATTAGGCACATCATAGTATACCAAATATATGTGTGTAAGTGCTGGGCGAATGATCATGCTATTTATAATTTTGATAGTGAACTGGTTTTTTTCATGTCTTTTAAGAAATTTCAAACGTATGAACCATCCATAAACATATGTTAAGATAAGACTATACTACTAACAATATAAATTCCTTTACCAGTATTCACTGTGATACTGGTGTATTGTCCAACACTACAGTTATTTTCATAGAAGTATAATCATAATATATGTGATTTATCACTAATTTGTCTAAATCTATGACATTTAAATCTCATAATGAATATAATTTATGTTGATATACCAATCCAGATAACACATTAACACATGATTTAAATAGTACATTACTACTTGGTAATCAATTCACAATGTAACGTGAACAGTGCTGAATAGTATATTAAGCTTATAGCATAAGATTAGCATATTATTAAAAGTTTCAAAAAGACTATAATTAGTGGTTTTGCCTTAAAGGGACAAGTACACCATTTTCTGTGGTTGATTTGGGTTATCATTATATGTAAAAAAAATCTTCAGAAGTACTAGAAATGTACAAAAAATCCTTAAAAATACCTCAAACTAGGAATTTCACTTTCTATTTCTATAAATGTATTTTCTATAAATGGCAGAGTCTCAAGAAAATATGAGTCGTCTGTTTAGTTTTCAATTACAGATAATTCTGGAAACATGTGGATATGAAGACTCAAATTTTGACAGTTAGTTGTGAACACTATTACTCATTAGCTTCGCTAAAAAATTCACCTTTTTGAAACTAAGGTAAAATTGTTCAAACAAATGCGAACTTGTCCCTTTAACAAACCCCTAGAATTGATAAAAAAAATCCCTTACCTTAGCAGGTGTCTCATCATATCTATTCAACAATTTTCTATCTACTCCAGGATATTCTAATAACACTCTAACAACATCAGGAAAACCAAATTTACAGGCAAAATGTAATGGTGACTCGCCATTCTGTAAGATCAAATAGAAATAGCAATGTGATTGGTTAAAACAGAGGTCAAGCAGAGGTCAACTCAATGAAAAGTCAAGAAGGACAGTGTTAGACCTTACTGTAGTGGTTACGTACAAAGCTAATAGCTAATAAAACAATCAAAATGAAACTAATAAAAGACGAACGGAAGTTAGGTCTAAGTTTAATTAACACTGGAGTCCAGGATTCTGATTTTGAAAGAAATCTAGGAAACTTACCCCTTTATCAGGCATATTAAGGTATAGATCAAATATAAAATCTATTCTGCGTTGTTTAGTTTCTTCACTCTCATGACTAAAACAGTACAGTTTCTGAGTAAACTCAGGGTTAGATATGGTATTTAGGATCACTTTACACATGGCTGGTTTGTTTGAGATGGCAGCTACATGTAGAGCATTGTATCGTAGTCCTTCCTAAAACAAAATAAATCATCTAAAATATTGCAGGTCAATAATCTATAAGGTCTATTTGACCAGGATTTATATGTAGTAAAATAATTGTCAATACAGTTATCTGATAATAAGGATTCAGACATTACCCTATCTGGGCTTTTTGCATTACTCTATCTGGGCTTTTTGCATTATTCTATCTGGGCTTATTGCATTACCCTATCTGGGCTTTTTGGTAGCTTATTCAAAGATTACAGTCACTGGTCACTGGTCCCTGTATTTAATAAGATTATCTGACAGTAAGTCAAAATTCTGCTCTGAAAATTTTAAATTCAGATTACATGATAGATGACTACAGTGGTTATCTCCCATTGAAGAATTGTCAGTCAGAAACCATTGGAAATCTGTTTTGTTTAGAAAGAATACCACATTTTGCATTAATCTTGATTTGATTATGTCATTGGATATAATTTCAACTCATATCTTCTTTTGACATTTTGTTTACAGATAACAAACAAAATCTAACCCCTTTTTTTAAAGCCTGATAATCTAAAATCAACTTACATGTAAAATGACAGGTGTATCAGCACTGCTAATCAGATATCTAGGATTCTCCCATACTGTAGTTTTAAACAGCTCTGTATCACCCCTCTCTATAGAACGGCGTAATGTCACAACCTCACCAGGCTTCGGTCCTCTGAATGCACTTTTCTCCACGGCAATACCAGTTGAAGTCTTTTCTATTCCAGATTCTGAAATCTAGAATACACAGTATGTCTTTTACCTAAGCCATTGTTTCTTGTAATCTTTTACCACTAGGACAATTGAAATGAGAAAGAAGAAGTTCTAATTCTCATCACAAATTGATATGGATAATTTGGTAAAAACCATTAACCAAGAGGTCGAAGTGGAAGATGGGTCATCAGAAATTGTTATCATTCATTCTCAAATCTCAACCCTTTTAAATTGACAATTCAAACTAACCCTTCAAATAACATGCATGTTTTTTTGCATGTAGTGATGTGCTAACTTCATGTGAAATCACAACTTTAGCATAACCATGACTTGTTTAATGGTTGAGGGTCAGATATTCATGTAAGATGCAGGGGAAATAAAAAAAAAACATGTTAAATTTGGGGCTTAGCATTATTACCTGACTATGTGAAGGAGATTTAGTTTGATTGACAGTATGTTTGGTGAAATCTTCAGCATCTTGTCTATTTTTAAAAACTTTGAATCTAGAATCTTTATATTTCTTCACTAAACTGAGCGCTGTGAGTCTATCAGTAAACACCAATTCACCTAGAAAACATCAAAGAAAGGGTTATAGTCAATAAAAGCACTAGACGAGGTCACAAATTGCAGACTTATGGTAAAACAAAGTTTAATGTAAAAGATTAAGTAGATTATTTTAAGGCCATTTTGACTTTTTTCCAGGAGCCATTTTCATTACATGTCAAAATGACTATAATTCATGAATTACATCCAAACTATTATCAGATTACAGTGTCAATTTCTTTCACTTATTATGGCAGCATTGGTTGTTTCCCTTTTCCAATGTTTGTTGTTCTCAATCAGCTTATTTTGAAATAACTAAACCATATGATATCAGGCTATATTACCTCCATAAGTTTCTTCTTCCGGAGGCAAACATACAGCAAAAAACATTGAAGCCACAGCATCCGATTTAGCTACAGCACGTGTCATTGGCTCTGAATGTTTCTTTCCTTCTTGAGGTTTCTCTTTGACCGAGCTGCCACCTTCATCCCCATCGTTTTGATCAGGATATTCGACAGCAAAAATTATTTTTGCCAACCTTTTCTGAAACAACAAACGTGTACTGGGAGTAATGGGCCCAACTTTAACTCCATTTTCCTTCAATTTCACACGTAATTCAGCATCCTTGAGCTGTTTCACGCGATCCAGTATATCTTCCATGTTATACGGAAATAATGGTTTCACTTAATAATACTTTTTCTCGACATTATAACATAATTTTCTTTAAAAGTCTTAAAATATGTTTTATTTTGCCTCCATCTTGTGGCGGCTTATTTCCTTCCAATTTCGTTTCAACTCATTTGATTGGCTGGCTCCGAATTTGATTATCCAGCCTTAAATTTATGCAAGAATTATATTGACGCTGACTGGATAACTTTATCTATAGCTTTAAATATTCAGCCAATGAAATTCCATGTATAATTTGACCCGTCACCTGTGACCTCTAATGACATGTAGTAATGTCAGGGGAGGAGACGAGCAGACTAAAAATGTTGTGTTGAATGATCAATTTGTTATTTTTATGAGGTAATTAGTAATTTTATGTTAATTAAGATTAGTGAATATTGATTGGTTGTGTTGTTACTATGTGCAATTTACATTGATCGTAGTTGTTTTTGAAATAGATTTCTAGATTGATTAACAAAATACAAACTAAATCTGTCTTCTCGGTCAACATCAACAAACAGTGTGTCATCTGTAAGTAAGTGGTAAACCACACAGCCCCATGACACACCCCCTTGGTCTAGTAAAAAATGGAGGGTTCCAATATGTTTTTTCGGTAAAAGAATGTTAAGATGCTTGATGTCTTACTTGACTTATGCAAAGCAAAATGGAATATTCAGTTACATAAATTACATAATAGTCATTCTAGCAATGGATGTGAAATGGCTTGCAATTAGAAAGGACCTTTCATTGTCATTCACTTTCATTCTTAAGACTTTTCTTCAGTTTTTATTTTTCTAACTGACTGAAAAGAATACTTAACTTATAGTACCAAACATGATCCTGTTTTAATTGTATAGACTTATAGTACCAAACATGATCCTGTTTTAATTATACAGACTTAAAGTACCAAACATGAGCTTGTTTTAATTGTATAGACCTATAGTACCAAACATGATCCTGTTTTAATTATACAGACTTAAAGTACCAAACATGATGCTGTTTTAATTGTATAGACTTATAGTACCAAACATGATCCTGTTTTAATTATATAGACTTAAAATACCAAACATGATCCTGTTTTAATTATACAGACTTAAAGTACCAAACATGAGCTTGTTTTAATTGTACAGATTTAAAGTACCAAACATGATCTTGTTTTAATTGTACAGATTTAAAGTACCAAACATGAGACTGTTTTAATTGTACAGACGTAAAGTACCAAACATGATCCTTTTTTAACTGGACAGACTTAAGTACCAAACATGATCCTGTTTTAATTGTAAAATCTTAAAGTATTGGTACCAAACATGATCCTGTTTTAATTATACAGACTAAAAGTACCAAACATGATCCTGTTTTAATTATACAGACTAAAAGTACCAAACATGATCCTGTTTTAATTATACAGACATAAGTACCAAACATGAGCCTGTTTTAATTTGAGGAAATTGGAAAATTAAATGCGACCCCCAAAATCTAGATATTTGCAGAATGCTATGATGTTTTGCAACAAAATTTTTGACAAATATATTTAGTTTAATGGAGAAAGGCCATGTTTGCATTTATGGATGGTAAAAGAAACAAATTTAAAGTTATACATCATTAAAAGATGATAGATGTGACTCCATGGTCATGAGTTGTCCAAACACAATTTAAAATGGTGTCTATTCTTATCATAACCCATTCTTTATAATTTTAATCCCTTTCTAAATAATTTTAGCCGAATAATAGGAAAAAAATGGAAGAAAAGACAGTACAAAAGTCTTTAGGTGAAACATTTCTTTTGTTTCTGGTTTAAAATTGCATTTTTTTTTTTTCGTTTTGTTTTATTTATTTGGTTGACACATAATTTTTTTTTTATTTGTTCATTACAATTTGTGGTTTTATTTTTTTTGGTCACTTCCCAGTAACTATGAGTTATGAGGTTTATAGTTTTTGTTTACAGTTACACTGCATTTTTTATACTTGTTAAACTTGCACTTTGGCATGAGGTGAGTGTGAAACATCTGCCTCTATTCCAGCATCTGATGGATATTTTGACAGTTGTCACCTAGAGTAGAGTCAGAACAAAGAGATCCTGTTAAATGGGGATTTTCCACAACTCCGAAGATGCTTTTTTTCTAACATAATATTGAATTACCGTTACGATCACTGTAAAATCAAAGTCTGTCTTTTAATGTTAAAATGATGACTCATCGTTTAAAGATATTCTGTGATATATAGAAAATACATGTATACAGAAAAAGTGAGTAAAATTCAAGGTTTGAGATATTTTGAAGGAATTATGTGATACATTTTTAGTACTTGTTAAGACTATTTAGATATATTCTAGACTCAAATTAACCCCCTTAAATGGTGCATCTGTTCCTTTAAGTTAGGGAGGAAAATATGACCTGCTTTGAAGGTCAACCTGTTTTGATAGCAATAACCTAAAGGTAAATTAATACTAGTAGGTAATTTATTATCAAGGTAGACTTGTATTAATTAATATCCAGTCTGACTTACAGTGTGGTTAGATAACTTGAAAATCAAGATCTCTACATCATTATCAGTTTTAAATTTATGGATAACTATTTGATACATAAAATAACATATCTTATCTAGAGTGTGTATAGGATTATTGACATTTTGGCTGAATCAGCAATTGATTTATGGAATGTTTGAATTCCAAAAAGGCTTTTCTAGTCTCTGTCTATATGTGTATCAGTGACGCTTATAGCTTCTATTTGCACCGCACAGTTTTTGCCACTTGGGTGTGGTTCCTGTAGTTTGACCCTGAATATGATATCACTGTAGCAGAATGTGCTCAATATACACGAGATCAAGTTTTTCTTGAAAAACAGGAACGACAGTCATAGGCATCAGACTTAGAAAATGGGGACAGTGTAAGTGAAAACTATAAAGAGTACATTTTGTTCATAGATTTGCCATAATTGTTCCGTGGATATTCTCTCTCGATTGTGACTGATATAATTTTACATGAAATGGTTTTGAATCAATACATTTCCACTTCAATAGACTCTATATAGACTTCAATACCTGTATATAAAAACTTATCTACAAGCTAGTGTTAATGAATAGAAGCTTATATTATTTAAGCCAGGTTTAATCTAGGATTAATATTTTTAACAATGGAAATCATGTAAGTTTATTTCTTGTCTTATCCAGACATATTAGTTTTTAGACTTAAAGGATAATAGTCCAGATTTTTCAGTATTAAAATGTTTGCTACTGTACCAAATATAGAAATATGTCATTTATTGCTTATTCTTTTTTTACCCTAGGCACCAAGGCCAACATCTATTTTCAATAAGCATGCACAATGAGAAAATGGTGTTCTTCTGACAGCCCAAACCAATTGTTTTTGGCTTCTATACAGGACAATGTTCGCAATTTTCAGAGGTTGATTTGGGTCTTGTTTTGTATTGCATAATTCCTTCAAATATACCTCAAACTAGGAATTTCACTCACTATTTCTATATATATATAACTTTTCTATAATATTTTAACAATCAAAGGCCAATAATTCTGGTATAGTTTTGAAGGCTCAAATTTCAACATTGAGCTGTAAACACTGTTACTGATCAGCTTAACTAAAAAAAATTCCCAATCCTGAGATTATGGTATGATTGGTCAAACAAAATTCTTCTAAGTTATTGAAAGCTAGAGTTCTTAATTGGTATAAGATTTGAATGACATTTAGAATTAATTAATTAATCAATTGGTATCAGCATAAAAAGTACAGTCAGCATTATGCATTATTAAGTTGATATTAGTTGGGTGTGGTCTATGACGAAGTTTCATGTTATATCAATAATGATGTCAGCCAGATTTTAATACTCTATTTCTATTATGTTATGTAATTAATTATTCAGTATGCATATCTTATAAATGTACTGCAGTATGCAATTAGGGAAATTTAAGGTAATGGCTTCAAAACACTTTTGGAAGACAAATTATGAATCTATATCCCCACGAATATCGTATCCAAGTACAGATTACAAATCAACAAAATATGTTACACACATAAATAAATGATTCCACTGTTCGAAGGAAGGTGCTAATGATGATAACTTTTGCATCCTCTAAAGCCTAAAAGAATATATAGAAACTATTTTACATGTATCATTGCTGCGATTTGGTTGAGGGCGGAAAGTGCTTTGTAAAAATGATTATACTCTATACACTCGACTCATAATATTCCTCGGAAAAATTGATAATTTTTATATTTCCAGAAACAGGCGAAGAGAAAGAACCAATGATGACGTCCTACGAAAGATTTGATAATGATCCGTCAAATGCCTTAAGTAAATCTGACGCCATGACACCTACACCAACTAATGATACTCGTATCCAGGTTGAAAATGATATTGAAGCAGACGTTAATCAGATTACAATACAAGGAAAAAATGTAGTGGATTATATTGATGATCCTGCTGGAGATCCTCTTGGACCTACGGAAGGTCTTGCGTAAGTTTTTTTTTTTTTGATTCGATGAAAATAAGGTTGTCAAGAATGAGGCATTAAAACTTGAAACGGCAGTTGTAGGTCTAAAGTTATTGAAAATTGCAAATTCTTTTGGTCTTACCCAGCTAGAAATAAACATTTTTCTAAAATCACTATCCCAAAGGCTCTTAGATATTGTTAGCAGTTTTTGAGATAGTGTTGTCATAAAACTCGAAGATTTTCAGTGGTTTCACAAACAGAGATCTGACTGAAAATTGGTATGGTTCAAATAGATGAGCAGTATCACTAATACATATAAATTGTTTAAGAAAACCTCTTCACAATCCCTTTAATGTTTCCTATTTGTGACCTTGGTGAGAGCTTATGTAGAAGACTGTCTCCAATACTTGATAATCCAGGGTTTAATCCTGGCATAGGTCAAGATGTTACCTTCAGATTTTTCAACCAAGTTTCCCTGTGTCAGTGATGCTGGTAAGAGGGGCTGACATGGAATAAGCGTCTAGTCATTCCGATGGGACAATAAACCCGAGACCCTGTGTGCCACAGACTGTACACGTTACAGATTCCTCGACAGTTGGAAATCGAAAAAGAGCAGGCTTATGCCGCTGTCCTGGCAAAATTTCTCTCATTGCACCCTGCATGGCGTTGCCTGTCTTCATTAGCCTACATGGTGCAGAAAAGTAGGACGTAAAACTCCATTCATTTCATTTCCAATACCTGATGTACTATGAATAACGACATTTTTTGATGTCAGGGCTTTAAATTACGTATATCTACGGCCACTCCCAATTTTATGACAAAAAAATCCACAAATTGTCCTAAATTTGGTGTTTTCCACCAAGTAATTGCTCAACATCCTGGGATCCAAGCATCCCCAAAACCTCTGTGAGAAGTATAGTATATTACTTTGTCCTTATGATTAACATTTTTTGTCTGTTTCAGATATTATCAATTAAAAGTGCGGAATATCGTGGAGAATATCTATTTTCGTGCTATAACTGTGTTATTAATTTTACTAGACTTTATTCTTGTTATTATCGTGTTGTCTTCGAATAGTTGTGCTCCAGAAATTGCTGCCTTGGAAATTGTTTCTCATATTATTATAACTTTATTCGTGTTGGAAATAGCTGCTCGAATATTTTCTCAGGGGTAGGTTCAACTTGTTTCTTCGTTCTGTAGAATTTGATACTTTTTGTCTGTTGAACATGTTTAGTTAGTTCACTCATGTTTTTGAAATATTCGATTGTATATGAACAAGGTGTAAAATTTTCATTCCTAAAAGGGATAATGTATGCAAATGAGCTCGACCAGTTTGCAGATGATGTACAAGTGGACAAACATTGTGAGGTCAGATGTTACATCTTGGCATAGGTTAAGACAATACCTTTGGATTTCTCTCCATGTTTCCCCATCCATGATGTTTGTCATAGGAGCAGCAGTAGATTTTTTAGTGTCAAGATTTCCAAAACTTCGTAGTTTTGCAGGTAATGGAAGTCAAATCCCTGCAATCCCTTCCTGTCTATGACCATGTATTGTCAGACCATCTCATTGGAACTATTTTCAGGAAAGAATTTTTTTTCAATTGTTTTGATGTTATTGATATGATAGTTGTTCTGATATCGTTTATTGTGGACATGGTATTTATTGGTATAGAAGCTCATCAATCATGTACTCAACAACAGGGTTCCAATTTTGCCAAGTAAGTCCCAGAAAACGTTAAAAATAGAAACGTTCTTTGTTGGTGGGTGAACAATCCATCGCTTGGCTTAAATCCTGATATCAACAGCGTACCACTTTTGCCAAGTAGGTCAAGGAAAAAGTTTACTTCCCTGTTGGTGGGTTAACGATCCAAAGCTTTATGAAATCTGCTTCGCAATGATAAGAAGAGCCGACATCAAAGGATCAAAAAGCCACTCAGCTAAAAACTTTGTGGTAAAAAATAGATTTGATATTGCATTACAAATTATGATAACTCAAAGTACATTTTTTAAAAACCAAAGTGTATACAACTCTCAGTATTGGTTTGTTCCTTTGTAGTCCTGCTTAACCAGTTCTTATCTTTTCATTTGATTTTTTCAGATTAGTTGTCATTGGTCGAGTATTTCGTATCATTCGTATTGTCAGAATTGTATATTTCCTCATGGTTCAACATCGACAGGTTACCAAAGCAACGAGAAAAGTGGTTTCTCAAAATAAACGTAGATATCAACGAGACGGTTTTGACCTTGACCTATGTTATATAACAGGTAAGGGTTCTTGACCCATAACTAAACCTACATATTAATATGAAATTCTTCTAGGGATCATGGGTTCTAATCTCGACCAGCATGTGAAATTCTTGTGACGTCGATTACATCATCTTTAATCATTAATTCAGTCAACCCAGTTGTAAATGGGCACTGATTCTGTGGGAAAGATCAATGCCAAGAGATTTGGCCAAGTATCAGCTGGCAGAAAGGCGTCCATTTGGTTTCATCCTCTATCACTTAATTGAAAATTGACCTATGATTTATACATTGTTTTCTATACACTTACAGAAAGAGTGATAGCTATGTCATTCCCATCTAAAGGTGTTATGGCCTTGTACAGAAATCCCATTAGGGTAATATTATATTTATTTATTCATTATTATTTTCTACTACATCTGTCCAATGTTTAAGTTGCTAAGTATATTTTAACATTAAAAAAAAATTGCACAAATCATCAATAAAAACATGTTGGATTTACAAGGTCCTGGTTAAAAAAAAGATGTCATTGTGGTGAATAATATCAATATACATAAATCAATGCCTTTCTGAATTATATTTAAAAGCATGATCAAAATTTATATTCTAGGAAGTAGCAAGGTTTTTTGATACCAAACACAAAGATCATTATAAAATTTATAACTTATGTAGTAAGTATTATTTCATTATTTTATATTATTATATATTTCACATTTGGACATATAAGAACCCCGACAGAGTAGATTTATGCAGCCTTCCTGGTAAAATTTCTCTTATTGCACACTGCACACTGCCCTTTTCTTCTTCATTAGCCCATTCAAGTGCAGAAAAGTAGGACATCAAACTCATATTCTATTCATTTCAATTACAATGTTAATGTTGTTTTATTTGTAGGTGAGAGAGATTACGATGAATCTTTATTTCACAACCGTGTAGAGAGAGTTTATATAGATGATCATAATGTTCCTAGATTGAGGTAAGCTGACATTGATTTAAGCTCCTTAGCTCAATTGAGCTCTATTAAATAAAGCCGAGTGTATGGAGTGTCTTGTCTCTTTCTTTGCAAACAGTTCATAATTAGCTTAAAGTGGAAATAATACAATTACATATTTGAAGGTATCCATATCAATTTTGAATTGGACTTAAAGATGGCTTTCCTTATTTTTTAGTGTCAAATTAAACAAACTATATGATTAATTGGTGTTTCTAATGAATTATGATGTATTCTTAATCATATCATTATGTTCTTATCGCATATAATTTTTAACAAATAATAAATGTCCATGTATGTACAGTCTGGATAAACAAAAAATACTTTCTTGATTGGTTACTAATCGGAATTCTGCTGGTAATTCTCTTCTAATTAGCTTATTATGAAACAATTATTGACATGTGAGACAAACTGGTATATTTCCAAGTCATTAGAACACCACTACTTTCTATTCATATAAGTATTAGCATTTTTATTTTCATAAATGAAAATAAGGGAAGCCATCTTTAAAACTGAGCTTTATGGAGAACAATTTGAAAATCCATCCATTACAAGTTCATGAAGAGTTCTGTCTTGGTGTGGGGGAATATTTATCTGGGAAAAGAACTAAGGGTACATCCATAACAAGTTATTGCCTGTATTTTTGTAGAGATATGATCAAATTTGCTGATAATGTACGTCAATGGATGTCTGCTGATAAACGTAATGTGATAGCTATACATTGTAAAGGCGGTAAAGGTCGTACTGGGACTATGATCTGTTGTTGGTTGGTAGATTCTGGTCTATTTGAAGAAGCTTCTGTAAGTTTATTATGGCTTTTGTCTAGCATTATCAGTGAAAGTGGTGTTAAATGAGAACATTGTTTCTTAAAAGCACTGTCCTAAAACAAAGTTAAGATACTGTCCAGGTATATATTTTTGGGATTTTTCCCAGATGTTGTGAAGTATATGGCAGTTGGCTATGTCTTTGGCAGTAAAAAGTCAAATATTAGTCTTTTCACTACCAACAACATGACTAACTGCCACATTCTTTTAAGTCTGTGAATGGTTTGAGATGAGAAAAAACTCAAATTAAAGCAGTATAGAAATGATCTCAAAAGAATATTTTAGTATCAAACCTCAATCTTGGATGTCTTTTATTTCACCACATTGCTTGAGCCTTCTTATGCATGGATTCTAACGGCATAGGCACGCTTACTGAACAGGAATCTTTGAGTAATTGTAGGTGGAATATCTACTTTCAGGAAAGTTTAGATTATTTTGGTGACAGAAGAACAGATTTAAGTGTGGGAAAAACATTTCAAGGTGTAGAAACACCAAGCCAGGTCAGATATATATTATATTGAATTTACAATATGAGTTATATGAACTCTCTGAAAGAGATGCAGAGTTGACAAACCCAGTATTTTAAAACATTTAATGAAGAAAGAATGTCATGGTTATAGGGGTTGTAAGGGTACACCTACCCAACTTCCAGAAGCACTGACCATGGCATCAGAATTTGTCTTACCTTGAGGAGAATTCGATCCCACAGCTCCTAATCGCCAAACAGATGACAATCCAACAGGATACCAACTGAGCTATAACACTTCCACTGCTATGTTGAAAAATTTGTGAAAATTGAATTGAAAGTTTTTAGTAAATTATGGTTTTTATTATAGAGTCGCTATGTTGGTTACTATGAGAAAATGAAGACTGATTTTGGTAGAAAATTACCACCAACAAAATATCTTCGTATGAAATCAGTTAAAATAGAAGGATTACTATGTAGGTATTTTGAAAAAAACATCTGATGTTTGGTTATGTTTTTGATTCTGTGGATGACTCAATTTGCCATCCATGATCTGTTAACATTGTTATGTGTCTCCTGCTCTAGGTCATATCATATTCAACCAATCAGATGCTCTGTGCCATAAAAATTTCCTAACTGTGAGGAATTCGAGTTGTATTTTCTTATCACTTTTAACAGAGCTTTTGATTGGCTAGCATAGATTGTGACAACTTTTGTTGTCAGGTAAAAATTCCACAGAACACTATTTAAAGAAGAATCATGTCAGATCATGATGGCAAGTGTATTAACATACAGGAAAAAAACCCACAAAATATGCATGAGATGATCTCTCCTCTTTTAAAAGGTGTTTTTTTACATTATATTTTTTTGTCGTCTGCAGATGTTGGCAATGGAGATGGCAGTGATTTAGGAATGGAAATCAGACCAGAAGGAGATTTAATCTGGGAATGCCAGTTTGGTACCAACACAAATTGTGAGGTTAGTTCCATTCTATTTTCCCTCATTGAACATTTCATGGCATTGTCTTACTTCAAAATAGAAATGTAGGATGTATAACTCTGTTTCTATTTGCTCACTGTCAAATTTACAACATTTTTATTCCCTAAATTGGCGGCCATTTGTAAAAATGTATGTGCACTTGGCACATGGATTCTCTGTTTGACTTCATAGCTTATAATAAATAGGTTTAGGAATTTTATCTTATTTCCTATTACAGACAATGAAATATTCAGATACTAATAGTATTGTAGTAGAATTAAAAAATAGTCCAGTTATTGAAGGAGATATTAAAATTATGTTTCGAACAACAAGTGTAAGTAATCAATTTCTCTTTTTAAATTGTCAATATTTCCTGATTGTCTCACCAACCATTTCCCCCATTGCCTACCTCTACAAGATGTGAACTCTTGATAAATTAAGCTGATATGTTTTATTCTAAGGTTCTGATAGAATAATTTAGTTGTTGAAGAAAGACATTGAATGGTCTGTAGCCAATTAAAGCATGAAACCGTAAATGTAGTTGTCTCCCTTATGTTAGCCTCAGCCTTAGCCCGATATATATATAAATATATATATATAGTATGGTTTACTTGTATCTGTTTAAATTTGGGTTAACAGGAGTAATAAAGAAGCATACTTCTTTATTACTCCTGTTAACCCAAATTAAAATTAAAAATGGATGCTCTATGCTACAGAGAATTGATTCTTGCACAAAGGAAGGTTTATGTTTTCAAAATGTTTCTTATCATTTAGTATCAGATGAAATGGTATTTTTTTTAGAAATTGGTACCGTTAGGTTATGATAAGTGTCCTTTCTATTTTTGGTTCTATACCTCATTTATTGAAGATCATACGTAAGTATTCTTTTAAACTCGGGAATTCAAGTGATGATGTAGGCATAGAAATAGTTGGATGGCAAACCAAGGTCCTGTATACAACAGTCATACATTCTTTTTTAATGTACATTGATTTTTTCCCTCTCTGAAGCCAAAAAAATGGATGCTAAAGAGGTTTTAAAGAGATTTTCTAGACTAAAATTTGAATATTACAAATGGATGCTATCAGTGTCCCTGATGCCTCGAAAGAGTTTAGAAATCTTCTTTACAATCCATTTAAAGTCCATTTCAGTCACTTTTGGCCTATAATGCTCTAGTATAAAACTCAATATAAGATAGAAATATCAAATTGATTTTTTGTAAATATTTGTAGTTTGTATCTACCAAGAGATGAAATAGACAATCCTCATAAGAAAAAAGTTCACAAGGTATTCCGAGAAAATTTTGCCATTGAGTTGAAATTTGAAGATGTGGATGAAAATGAAATACCATAGAAATTTTTTGGTGAGAAACCTTTACATCAGTTTCACAAAGATTTTAAAGATCCAAATTTATTCTAAGTGATGGCCTGCATAAAAAGGGTGGATGTCCCTTTATAAATTGTAATGAAGAATAGGGAATATAGCTTTGTTACAGAGTTTTGAAACAGGAATATCTCTCTTTTTTTTTACTTTTCCTGGATAAAAAACAAATTGGCTTCACACCATTAACAAAATCACATATATTGTTGAACACTGGGAGAAAGGGAGTTACAATTCATGTTTTTACAAAGCAATTTTCCTTTTAGTTTAGTTTCACTCTCATGATATATTTTTGATCGAAAAATAGGCCTCTTACCATGGATCATAACAAACTGCACAACCACAATGTACCATATAACAAAACATTAAAGAAGTGTGTTATATTCCATAAATTTGTCTTGTGTTATATGTGCTCCTCGCTTCTATATGTCGTTCAAATGTACCAGGCTTAAAAATTTTAAAGTATGATGTATGTAAATATCTTTTTTCAAAAGAACTTTTTATTTAATGGCAACTAAGAAAATAATGCCTTGGTTTACCTTACACACCACAATACAGTATTGTCAAAATATTCTATATATCACACAGATTACAGTAGGTTCATGGTAATTAGACCAGATTAAACAGTCTTTTACATATTCAGGACTGGACAATTTAGCACTAATAACAATAATAGCTAGTAATAAGGTATGATTACTATGGAGCAAAACTACAATTTTTGCATCAATACAATTATAATCTTAAAACCAAGCACATGGCTCTACTTTGGGTAGTCTTGTAAAATTACAATGGAGAACGAAAGGAAAAAAAGGAAACCAAATTGTAATTTTGATTACTTGGCCTTCACCATCAAATTTCCATGAACCTACTCTTGAATTGTATATTTGTCATCATGTTTGTAATTCAAATTTGTATGGAGTCCACATTGTTTTGTTATTAAAGTTTGTTATAAATTTATTTTTATTATATTTCATCATTATTGCATCTGCATTTTTGTATCAGACCAGAGGCAAAGTCTACGGTCTTCGCACTTTGTTGGTGAATCAAATTTTACAGAATTCTATTGGAAAATTTAAATATCAGCTTCAAAATAGTACCAATAGTCTATGAATTGATAAAGAATATATTTTTTGGTAAGTTTCAGTAAGCACAAAAACCTTTTCCATCCCTTGAATGATCCATGATGGCTATAAGATTCTTTTCATGTTTACCTCATTGGATTTGAATTTTGTTAAATTAAAAAAAAGCCAAAGGAATATTTTCTGTAAGCTTTTAGTGTTTTGTTTCAATTTTCTTTTTGCCACTATATGAATTCATTTTAAATGGACATGTTCTGGAGGTTGATTTTAGTCTTGAATATATGTAAATAGTCTTCAGAAGTACTAGAAATGTATGAAAATTACATAATTCCTTTAAAAATACCTCAAACTAGGAATTTAACTCAATATTTATATATATGTCTTTTCTATATGGCAGTCTCAAGAAAAAATGAGTCTTTATTTTAACTTTCAAATCTGTCACTTTTATTGAGTTTCAGTCAAGGTATAGAAATTTAGAACATTCCATTTGATTTAAATGATTTTGTTATATGCAACTCAGTTGTAAAAATATACAGACTTTCCACTTCGTTTTAAATTGATCAAATAAAAACATTGCATGTGTAGCATGTCTTCAAAATGGCATTTCATTATTTGCCTTATATTTCTGTATCTTATAATTTGTGATAAAATTTTGTTTTTCATTTTTAGTGCAATAATAAATGTCGAAGAACAACATTCCTTAAAAAAAATAAGTTTGTTATTGTTTCATTATTTTGTTGTCTGCACAAATTCATTGCTTTCTGTAGCTCTTTTCAAAAATGAATTCTGAGTTTCTATTTGTCTACAATGATTTTTATGTAATATGGCATATTGTTATATATTTCTTTCATATTTCAATGATAATGAATAAAAGTGTGTTTTGAACATGGTCACAATTACATAATATTTGCACGTGTAATTTTTGAATTTTTGAATTTTTATGGCATTATTTATGACAAGAATTCAAATTTAACATATCTTCCTAAATAAAGCTCTAGAGATTTAGTTTCCTTTATATTCTGTGGGCAATTCACTCATTCTAGATGTAAAAACAACATGTTTTAAATAAAAAATAATCAAGAAAGCCAATAGATATTACGATTTCTGTTAACCAATCAAAACACCCAAATATACAAAACAAGTTATTTCTTTAGAAGCCTTCAATTGGTTGATTTGAAAATTATTTTTTCCATTTAAACGTCTTAAGATCTTGAGTGACTGAAGGTTACCACAGAAAATTAGGAAAATATGTACAGATTGGCACGAAACTTTGTTATTCTTTCATTGTTATTTTAAATCATTGTAGATGTTATTGTCATTGTTATGAAGATCATTTGTTATTCATTGTGAACAAAATACTCGTTTTTCAAATTTCACTCATAATAAATATATTCTTTAATGACTTTTTTCATTTTTTATTATTGATCTATGGCCCAATTCGGCTAGTCTAGGCAGTGAATCTGTTGCAGAGCGCTAGCCTATCTTTCACGGTAGGCCGTTTGTTATGGCCCTTTTAACAAAAATATTGCTTTATTGCTCGAATTTGAGGGGTGTATGTTGCTTATAAAGGCATAGTTTAATTAAATGCCCAATAAAAGGATAGAAATTATGATGATGAAATACAAATCAAAGAATTTTAAGGCCTTCGAGCCTTTGTTGGCGATCTAAAGTCCTGGAAATGTGCTTGCGACGTCGAGTAACTGTCCAACTATAGTATGGCAATCCAATGAAACGTTTGTGGTCCGTATCCTAAATTATGAGTTGTTTCCCTTCGATGATAAAGCACCAGACGACTTTGCGATCCACGTAATGAAGACTACTCTTAACAGCGTATATGAGTAATATAGTCGTTTAATTTACGCTTTACCAGATGTTAGAACTAAATTTCAGCTATCCGGATCACTTTTTCTTAATTCCAACAACCTATTCACCGACAATTTAAAGAAACTGACAGTGGAAGTCTTGGCCATCATTAGGCCTAGACCTACTTCCGGAGCGTCCAACGTCGGTATTATTCTGCTTTAGGAAGCAATCAAGACATATATCCGAATATCATTTACTAATAGACGACATGACATATATAAACAGATTTTAACAGAGATCTCTTACTGCCGTTCGCCATATCCATAGGTTAAAAAAGATAGCTTTTCTGGAATTGAAGTCGTGAAGTCGAATCGGGAGTCTTATTGTCCTTGTATAAAGAGTTACAGTCAGTTGGAATAAGTAAGCCTAGACCCTTTAACGATAATCTTAAAATGGGAACAGTGTGATTCGACAATGAATGGTTCTTATATTGTATGTAGATGTTATTTTTGGGTTGGAATTATTAGCGTAATGGAACCCAAGATCAGATTTCATCCTGGAAACGTGATAGTTCTGGAAATATTCCTACTAAGTCAAATTATTATTTCCGCCAATTAATCCAATAATCACGGATAGCCGAACTTAATTACTATCTAAATTGCCGAACTTTTGTCCAGACTAAGACCACAATAACAAGGTAGAAGAGAATAATATTATAGGGATCAGGGCGGGTCGTGCTATTTGTCACTATGATTGTTTATTATTATAGTTATTCTTGTCTGGTCGTGTCTCAATGAATTGCTGGTCAGTTCCAGAGATTTCTTCATTATGAACTTAACCTAAATTGGACCAAAACGTATTCTGGAGTTATTGAGAAAGACTTTCAGCGTAACCTAACTAATAATCCAGTTACTAACACTGTAACTAAGGTAACGCGTACTAAAAGGAACCACATATAAATGATAAAGCAGAACGTGGTTGATTGAATATGGCACAGTAACGTCCACTGCCAGCTGCAGAAGTTGATATCTCAGACATGGTAGTTGTTGATCATCGTAGTGGTTAGATCTGGAACAATTGGATGGTCGCAAAGGAGTATGCTAATGCCACTGTCCTCATTGCATTGTACAGGGTGTTGTGGATCAACTATTGGTTGAACAAAGTCTACGGAACCCCCACCACCAGAAAGAAATGGAGTAGAGCATATATAAAAAACCAGGCACAGAAAAGTAGGATGTATAACTCCAACTATCAAACTATCAACCGTTGATAACAAATCAAGATCATCTGTAGCAACCGGGAGTCTAAATAAACTCGTGATTTCGTATTTTGAAAAATTTGGTTTTTGGACATTACAATCTATCGAACTACTCTTTCCTCGAATTTCCTCTTTCATAATTCCCACTTAGACACAAAGATCACAACAACATTGCTACAAGACATGTTCATTACAATGTCGGACCAGTGGCACCAAAGACTTCCCGAACCAAACAAGAATAGACAAAATCTAGGGATGAATATTTCCGGATCAAAATAATTCACTAGAAATTAATCCTTTGGGATAGGTCGTATCATTGCTCCACTTCCGGTTTAAAGAAAACAAGGAGTTGTTGCTCTTGTTTCTCAATGTTTTCTTTTAATTAATAAATGCTGAAATTTGTTTTGAAACAGGAAACGAGTTGCGCAAGTTGTGACCGTTTTTTATGTTATGAGAAGAAATTCGATATTTTCCTTTCTCCAAACTAGAAATATGCAATTATAGTTGTTGATTTAGGCATTCATCGTAAAGTTCATGAATGGTTTCTGAAACAGAAACTCGATCAGCAAAAACCAAAAAAAAACCCATAAAAAATGCCTCAAAATAACAACAACCCACATAAATGACATTCTTTTCTACAAACCAAGTTTTGTCCACCCAAATGACGTATCTTGCTTTTTATTCGCACTCAGTTTGACCAATCGTAGCCCAAGTCTCCGAAATCAGTATCCGCTGATCAGCATTTGTGTAAACAGCTCAGCATCGAGCCTTTAAATCAATGTGGAAACAGAATTATCCGCGTTTGAAAGTTAAAATGACGACTCGTTTTTTTCTCGATACTCTGCCATAGTCTTATATAGCAAAAGAAAGTGAAATTTCTAATTTAAATGATATTCAAAGGGATCATGTGATTTTCGTTCAATTTGAGTAATTCAAGATCCAAATCAACCTTCGAAAATTGGCGAATCTTGGCCTTTAACCATTTCCACACATAACCTAACCCCACTTACGTTTTTATGACGAGAATTTGCCCTACATTCATCGTGTGCCTTTTCTGCTTGAAGCAAAATTATGCACACGAGTAGATTTTAAGAGCTTTTCTTGATTTGAAAAATGATTTTTTTTTTTTTAAAAATAGCAATAAATTGTTATCTTCAAAACTTTTTTTAACACGAAAGTGGGCGAAGTTAGAAGTTGATGCCATGTAAAGTATTCCCAGAACATCAGATAGTTTTAACGTAAATTAAACCTTATCAGACAAATTCGCCCCGCGGCTTCCAACTACCATACTCTGGTTTTCATCCCAATTTCATTTCACTTCAACACACATTTTCATTAACACTCGCCATTTTGTGAATTCAGAAGGAAAAATGACCAACTCTAATAGAATTTTGGACTACAATGTCAGACCCCTGGGGTTTCAAGAAACAGTTCAATCTGGAGACACGCTTCACCATAATACACAGGGCCTGGAGTGATCTTGAAGAGACACGACCACTCAACAGCGATTGTTCACATTTTCTTTACGTTTGTAAGTAAATAGTCCTATCTTGAGTGCGCGATACAGCCTGAAAACTTGAACAGATTTTCTGAATTCATAGTAAATCTAAAATATTCCATTTGAATTGATTCCAACTGGACCAAAGCTTCACAAGGTTTCAACATATTATGTATTGATATGATTCAATCAACAGCACTGCTGACGTCATAGATCATTGAATTATCTATGACAACTATCAGACGAACCCCCAATTACCTCTAAAGCGTCATTTAGTCGACGATCTCTAATGGACAATGCTTTGAAATGAAGTTTTTACGTCACAAGTTTTCAGCAGACACCATAGAATTAAAATGAATTATTCTGGCTGACACTCTTTTATACATTTTAATGACGTAACGGTATAATCACACGTATAGCATCTAATATATCCTTGGTGTTAAATCACTGAGGTACATTTGGACGATTTGGTACTCTTTTGCTTGTCCTGCGCTAAGTGGACCAATACAACATTGAAAAGTTAGAATGTTCAAAGAAATGTCTATATCTTAAAAATTGTGCAAAGGGTGCTCAGGTATGCTTGAAGAGATGGCTGATACCCCAAACTAATTGTAAAATGGGTGCCGAGGTTTCCTTGAAGTACGCTTGTACCCAATGGTTTGAAATTGAAAACGGGGTATCACGGGCGATATATCATTCAATCAAATGTCGCATATGCATTCTTTGAAAATTTTGAATGGTGCAAATTGATGCTATCTTTGTCTGTCACAGATACACATTAACAGATTATAAAACCCCTTTACAATCCCTTTAACCCTTTTACAAAGAGTACTAAATTTAAAAATTAGACAGCAGTTCGATATAAAAATTTAATTGAATGGTGACAATATTATTAACAAATAAACGAAATCATTATTGATGATGATGATATACCTTAAAATATTTACATTAGTATGTACAATGACATTTCTCTTCTTGAAAATCTGAGGCATGTTCAGTGAAATGTTCAAATTGTTTGTAGCATGAAATTCTGACGCATGTTCTGTGAAATGTTCAAATTATTGTTTGCAACATGAAATTCTGACGCATGTTCTGTGAAATGTTAAAATTATTGTTTGTAGCATGGAAATCTGACGCATGTTCTGTGAAATGTTAAAATTATTGTTTGTAGCATGAAATTCTGACGCATGTTCTGTGAAATGTTAAAATTATTGTTTGTAGCATGAAATTCTGACGCATGTTCTGTGAAATGTTAAAATTATTGTTTGTAGCATGAAATTCTGACGCATGTTCGGTGAAATGTTCAAATTATTGTTTGTAGCATGAAATTCTGACGCATGTTCTGTGAAATGTTAAAATTATTGTTTGTAGCATGAAATTCTGACGCATGTTCGGTGAAATGTTCAAATTATTGTTTGTAGCATGAAATTCTGACGCATGTTCGGTGAAATGTTCAAATTATTGTTTGTAGCGTGAAAATCTGATGCATGTTCAGTGAAATGTTGTTTGTAGCATGAAAATCTGACGCATTTTCAGTGAAATGGCGTATACTATAATGCTTGGTGCAAAAAGCTAAAAAATTAAATTTTGGATTGCAGCAAGAAAATGGGGTAAATTAACCCAGATTTTTTCTAGTTTTGACTTGCGCCCGTTTACTAAGTAGATATTAAAAAGATATGGTCATCAAATTACGTTTTCTCATCAAGCACGTCCACAAAATTTAAAAAAGTGAATACATGTTATTCATAAGGATATCAAGACCAAAACTACATCAAGGCTAATGCCTCATGCCCCCAAAAGATTTTTTTTTGAAAAAATCAAATTATAAATATAAGATAAATATATCGCTTATTTGATTATCTACAGTATAGGTGGTTATCGTTTAAAGACTTTTAATGCCTATCGCAAAGGCTCGGTTAACTAACATTCACAATAAATTCAAACAAATTTAACGAAGGGAAAGAAACATTGGTCATTTTCCGCTAAACGTTTTGTTTATTGAAAGTATTCAAAAAAGTCATTAATTTGTCAGGTCCATCAACTTTTGAAAATGGCTAGTTTTACCACTGTACGATGTTACCAGAAACGTTTAAATGAATCTTTGTATATACACAATAAATATACAATATACAATTAAACACATCTCAATATAGTTATAATACAGATCATGATATTTATTTTCGTTTATTCTCTGTTGGTTACTTCACTCATTCTTGTAAATAACATGGTCAAGGACCGTGCATCTCAGAGGTTTTTCACAAAACCCGCAAAACCTGAACCGAGCAAAGAATTTCATTGGTTGAATTTTTTCCATCTCATTAAAAGAATTTCATAATTTGTCTTTTTCCCTGATTTTTTTCGTTTCCATTGTGATCTAACAACTTTTCTATAGCAGAATCGTTCTACTGACGTCGTTTTAAACCAATCAAGTCGAGCCATGTACACGTTCTTTCATTATTTCTTCAGATCTTACCATAAGTGAAGTAATCCACAGGGAAAAAATACAAAATAGCTCGGGTACCTTAACCATTTATATAAAGTATATACAATTTTACTATTTATAAAAATACTTGTCTTTATCAAGTTGTGAACCTGGCATGGTTCAATCAATCCACAATATTCTTCCATTTCTGTGTTAGGTAATAAATGTTTTCACAGTGCACTTATGCTTTCGTTTGTTCCTCATCATATCGCATTATTTTGAAGCGTGCATTAAACACAGTCCGGAAATGTAAAAGAAAAAAACAGTACTTTAAGCATATTGCCTGAGGTAATCAAAATCCACAATTCCGCACGATCACTGAAGTCAAAAAAGTTCCATAATCGTTCATGGTATCTTCTGGAATGCCTTACCACAAAGCTAATAGACAGCTTCACCAGTAGGCACTAACTGACGCTTGTTGCGTATTCCATATCGAACACATTCGAAAAATCTCGATCCTCTATCGAAGTACAGTTAATCACCATCTTCTGTGATCAAGGCCTCTTCATTATTTGCTTATCCGTACAGAGATTCTCGTACACTGCTGTCCCTGTTCACCAAAGCTTACATACTGTTCCGGGTTGCTCAATGAAACGTCAATGGAACGTCTAGAAGTTCCCTTCATCCTACACTTGAGATAAATACACAGCCCAATATGCACCGTTAAATACAAGAAATAATAATGGAAAAACGAGTCTAGCATATTTGTCTATTGTATTAACATCCTGAACTCGTGGAATTTTTACACGGATTGATTTTGCTCTTTGTTTAAAGTTTGAAAGAAATTTTTTCCGTTTCGGTACCCCGTTACTGTTTCTACGGCGTAACATGTTACTAGGTAAATACCCATGTGTAATGTATGTCCTCGGCAACACCGGTGCCATTCTGATATTAGGAGGTTCTTGTGCATTTCCATCCTCCAGTTCCATATTAAAACTTTGACTGTTTCTGATTCCTAACATAGGCGACATTCTAACTTCTCTCATTTCCATCGTATCATAGGCGTTCGAATTATTCTGAAATGATATAAAAAAAAGTGCATTAGACTCCACACTGAAGAAATTTTTATTGGTTTCATGGGGACGATTTCGTGCAAATATAAGGTCTTAATCTTTACTCGAAGGACGTTGTCAATTTTTAAATAAAGGAAACTGGTCCGAATTTTCATTGGATAGATGTCAAATGTTCTCATTTGATTTTCATTCTGACCACTTTTGTCATTGGATAGATAACGTCAAATGGCAATTTTAATGGGATAGATGAGGTCAACTTTATGATATATGATATAATAAACAAGGGCAACTATCCTCAACAACAAAAAAATGATCGACGAGTTCGGCGGTCCTCAATATATGGATGAAGTCAACTAAGTATAAGTTTTCATTGGATACGATATAGGTCAATTTTTCTCAGTCTCTCAGACAACTGTTTTCAATTTTCAATGGATGGAAGAAATCAACGTAATATCAATTTCAATTGTCAACCATCCTCAGTCAACTGTCGTCGATTTTCATTAGATGGATGATGTCAACAAAGCATCAGTTTTTAAGGAATAGATATGGTCAACCATCTTCGATGAACTGTCTTCGATCTTCATTGGATAGGTGAAGGCTATAAAGCACCGGTTTTCATCAGATAGATAGGTCAATTTTTCTCAGTCAAATGTCTTCATTTGTCAGTAGAAAACTGCAACTGCATCAATTTGGATAGATATGGTCAACAATTTTCATTGGATGGATGAAGTCAACTTTATCATCAATTTGGATAGATTTGGTTAACCATCCTAAGTCAACTGCCTTCAATTTTCATTCATCTATCCCATTATGTCTCGTATAAAATGGATGAAGTCAACTTTATCACCAATTTGGATAGATATGGTTAACCATTTTCTTAGGATGGATGAAGTCAACTTCATCATCAATTTGGATACATATGGTCAACCATTTTCCTAGGATGGAGGAAGTCAAATTTATCATCAATTTGGATAGATAATGGTTAACCATCTTAAGTCAACTGCCTTCAATTTTCATTCAACTACCCCATTATGACTCGTATAAAATCGACTCTATAGAAACTTTGATGGATTCGGTCAGTATTTAAAACACAATTTAATTTCTGAACGAAAAGATGAAGAATTTTCAAGACTTTTTAAACGATTTCTTCGATCACCAGAACTATTATATCATTTTACTTCTATTCTGAACTACTAGACTGTACCTTCTTCATTTTAATGAGAAAATTCATAGCTCTGCTTCATGTGAAAAGATTTCTTCGACCTCAAATTGATTTCGGTTAGGTTTTTGTGATTTGGAAATAATCATGTTGGCGGGTTGTCTATTGAGGTCGATCAGGAGGGTTACACATACTTTTACTGTATGGCTCCTTCAATAAATTGAAATTCGACCAAATTTGTTTGTTTGGAACCGGTCGCTTACAGATTTGCAGACTTTGCTTTTTGTACTGTGAAATAGCATGGTATACATATTTCTGACCGATATCTAATTCGGATCTTGAATAATAATCATAGTAATTCAGCTTGATATTTACGTCAAAAATGAGAATTTGACATCGTACGTTACTCGGTCGAATTTGGACCTATGAAGACGTACAATGCCAAACAGTTTGCAATGATGTACATTTTAGCTCGTTCAGTTGTATTAAATTCAATCATTCAAAAACATATTTGATATCAATTTTGTTTGATGTTTTTCTGTGGGCTAGTCCATTTGCCATCCATGATCTGGCGAAATGGATATGAATCTAATGTTCCGGGTCATTTCATAATTAACCAATCAAATGTTCTGTTTTAACCGTGTGAGGAATTCTGAAATTTAGATTCTGTTGATATTGATATCAAGGAAAGATCTTTTTGTAAAATGCAAGGCTTTAAAATATTTAAGTTGATATATGAACGAATTAGTTTTATCTCAACCAGAATGAGATCGGACTGCCTTGATATCGTTTCAAATTATTGTTACAATTATCAATAGAATCTCTACATCTCTTATTTATAGCAACTTGGATTATCAGTAGTGAATCAACCATATTTCAATTTTTTAACGATTTAAGGAGATAGATGCTTAGCAACAAAGTATTCTTCCTTAAAAAATACATCAAACTAGGAATTTTACCCACTTTCCCTATTTATATCACAGAGTATATTAAAATGACTAGTCGTCATTTTAACATTCAATCGCGGATAATTCTGGACACATGATGGCTCAAATTTCGACCGTGAGCTTTAAACACTACTGATTAGCTTAGCTAAAACAATTCCAGTTTCTGACACTAAATTGTGATTGTTGATTGGCATACATGTCCCTTAAATATAAAATTAAACTCATTAGCCGACTTTTTAAATATAAATAAATGAATTTAATTACTGCCATGTGTGTTCCTTTCCATAACGAAACTACGACGTCTGGTTAATTTGCACTTCAAGAAAAGATTCCAACAGGGGTGACATAGCATTCTCTCGTGAGAGAATATATTGATATATTTGTAATTGAATTTTATCATCTTGGAGAGCAAAATTAAGGCGACTGTATCCCTTTAAAAGATGCCGAAAGCTAATTACTCACGCCATAATTTGAAGAACTAAGACATAATATATATATAAATCAACAGTCTGGATCTCTCAATTAGAAAGATTCAAAATCAGAATGATTTAATCTTATTGAAGAATTATTAATATGACTTTTATTTCATTTTGTCTCTGTGATAAATCAACAAATCTATTATCTTGTTTCTTATCCATCGTCATAGTCTGTAGCGTTATGTGATGCCCAGATTGATTACGTTCTGGCCCATCACCCTGGGCTGACTTAGCCATTCAATTTCGTATCTCGTGGATATCAGTAAATATCTGTTATGCTTTAACAGTTAAGAGTATGAGCTTCATTAGCTTTTATTAAAAAAATAGTCAAATACTGCCAAAAAGTTAGCTCTATATTATTACATAGCTTACATAGGATACTACCACTATAATGTATTTAAATAGTTCCGTTGGGTATTCAAGACTTCAATTCCAGATGTCAAAATATGAACGAATATCTTCGAATTTTTCAACCAGGTTTTTTCAGATGTTAAATGTTATGTAGAAATTACGCGAATATCGTACAAAACGATGTTGAATATGAAGACGAAAGAGAATACAAAAATGTATCGAAATCGATGTTAATGAAAACTTCAAATAAAACACAAGAACTGAAGCCATTGATATTTTTCATTTTTTATTCTCGATGTTTTTCTTTCCAATAAAACAAAGAAGAAGCATGACATACGATCCACTTGCTTCAAAAAGTACTCATAATCAATTGCGAATGGAAGCCGTATCGGGATCAGGTTTCGCTTGCACCCCTGATATAAAAAGTCTTCATTCTTAATTTAGCAACAAAGGAAAACATAGCAGTGTCGCGATCGTAATAAATATTTGTAAAGACATAAAGACATGCTTAATAAGATTACATTAATATTCTTTCCGTAGATTCCTCGGGGGACCAAGGGACATAACTCGACCTTTACAGTAAATGCCAAAGATCCATCGGTTAATATCAAATCATGTCGTGGTCTGAAAATAATTTGTTTAATTCTCAATGAGTTAAGATTATGGTTATTTTTCTTAGTGCTGTAACACTCGTGTATCGGGTTAATGTTTTTCTTGGCGTTTAATGGTGGTAAGTGCTTACACCGATAACACCATCACATAGTATTAATTGGATGTGTCTATCAACAGAGGGATTCGCATTCAAGTTATATTAGCTTCAACTTTTATCTGAAGACAATCCATCCCAATATGATACCGATGAACGACGTTGGGAAAAATGTGATTCTTGAAAATGACACACATGCCAAATGAAAAGAAGAACTTTTTTTTGGATAGTTTCTCAGTTTTACAAAAAGAGTAAAACTGACAGATGGCTTTATGGTTCTATATTAGAGTTCGGAAATTGTGTCATATTTTGATGCATCAGCATATCATGAACTGGTTAATAATCAAAGACGATCTGGTTTCACAAAAAATAAAACGACGCAATGATTGTTATTTGACATAAGAATGTATTTCTTAAAGTATCAAAAACATGAAATGATTTCATGGTGTGATTCCATCCAATTCATAATTGTTGTTTTCTTCTTATTTCGAAAGATCAAAACATGAAAAAACTGTTTTGTAAATGACATGAAAGGCTGCCAAACACCATTTCTCAATTGAGGTGTACGATGCGGCATGTTTACGTAACATAGTTTTCTGAAAGTGTGGGTATTAATATGTCATGTAGGAAATTTTATGGTAGTTATGCAGAACTCCTTGATAAATACAATAAATCTGTTTCTGACATTTTGGCTAATTTGTCAGGCATGAATTGATCTGATTGTATCTCATGATTTTTACCATTGTGGTAGTGGAGGGTGTCATGCGTGAAGCAGACCATGCTTACTCTTTTCGAAACACCTGATGGTACTTCTCTTTGGAGGAGACCACTACTACACAACTTCTATTCTCGAATTTTGTCATACTTTGAATGAGATTTTGATTAACGGAATTGTCTTACTTGTACGGATATTTATTCCCTTCTTCGATGGTGGTAGAATATACTGAATTAAAATAAAAACCTTAGATTCTTACCATAACCTCTCCATCGTCTCTAGCTTTTCGTACAGAGTTAGCTCTTTCTCTTAATCTCTTAGCTTTTCGTTTAGCTCTAGCTCCCCAATATGTATAGTTGACGGCAGCATATTCTAACAAGGCAGCGAATACAAACACAAAACACATGACCAAATAAATGTCTATAGCTTTCACATAAGATATTCGTGGTAAGGACGATCGAACTCCATTGCTTATTGTTGTCATTGTCAACACAGTGGTAATGCCTGCAAAAAGAAACAAATATATTCTTCATTTTACATGGGTCAGAAATAGGGTCATTACAACAAAGTGGCATGATTCTGTCTAGCATTTAGCCTATGGAGACAAACATTGACTTTTTTTTAAATTGGTTAGAATTAGGTCCATTACAACAAAGTGGCATGATTCTGTCTAGCATTTAGCCTATGGAGACATCGGCATGGTTCTGTCTAACTTTCAGCCTATGGAGACAAACATAGACTGTTTTTGAACTTTGCCAGAATTAGGTCCATTAAAACAAAGTGATATGCTCCTGTCTAATCCCCGTTTTCAAACACAATTAGGTGGAAGGGGTCATGAACCACCCCTGAATATGTTTAAGAGAATATGTTTCCCAAGGAGATTCAAGCCCTGATGGTTGTAACTCAAAATCATTTGATCTGTTAAATGCTTCTTCTGTACTCTGTTCCAGAAACCATCAATGGCCTTCCAGCAGCTGTAGCAGGCGATCAGGTTTGGCGGATACATTACAGTATGTATAAATAAAATCTGTACCAATCAACACACTTCACGGCCACTAATGCCTAACACAATCTGTACATATAAATATATTTCGTATCGGAAGAATACGATCAGGATTTTAACAATACAAGGAACACATCTGGGAAAGACAGTACATATTCAAAAAGGATAAAGGAACACATCTTACCTAAAGCAACTCTGGCTGACGTAGCTTCATGGTTGATCCAAAACGACACCCATGATAACATTACTATTAATATTGATGGTAAATAGGTTTGAAAGATAAAATATCCAATATTTCTTCTCAGCGTAAAATACAAGGATAATCTTTTATAATCACCTGAAATTACAATGAAAAGGGGTTAAATAGGTTTTCTAGTCGTAGATGACATAAAAATCCTCTATTTGCTCGATTTCAACCTGCAATGAAATTGAAAGGGATGCCTTTGAGGTTAGGGATGACATTATTGGCTTGGGAACATCGGGTAAATGATGGTTATGTGTTAAAATGTCGATAGTCTAGTGACTTTCCTCCTCAGCCCCATTCGTTCCCACTGTAAATGAATACACATAATCTGTGAAAGATGACCAAGGACCAGCAGGTAGAAATGATTCTCTTGAACTTATCATGTACAAAATTGTTTCTATTTTATTTTTTCTGGTATTTGGTGACACAACAAGCCTCTATTTTTCGTTGCCATCTGCAATACCTGTTATTCCAGATTGTGATGTTGATGGACCATTCAAGTCTTATTCCAAAAGGTATTTCAAAAGTTGGTTTCATAATCCTGCCCATATTTGGAAATTGAACTTGGAAATTGTGCAAATAGGAGCAATAAGTGTACCTGGTACACATACAAAGACTAGGAAATCTTAACCATTTTAACCTCTCGGATATAATGAAATGTATTACAGGCAACTATCTAACCATAGGAAGATGCTGTACAGTGGCCTAAATCCAGGAAGTTGGTTCGTGATATTCGAAAATGACATTTGTTTCTTTTCAACCAGGATCAGAGTGGTACATTAGGAGGATTTAAGTTACTATAAATACGTTATTCCTGTAGAAGAAAGTAGCCTTACAATCCCATAAAATGTAATACTTATCCAATAACCAATCTTAGTGAGTCAGGAAGAACAACTCAAGAAACATAACTGAAATGTAAGGGAGTTCAACTCAACTGCATCCGATTGCATAAGAACGCCGGGGCAAAATCATTCATTGAATAACAAGACCCAGTAATGCATCTTCGCAGTCTCCCTGAATCAAAGGATCAAATGTAGAATATGTCAAATTACATCGAGGAAGTTGTTATCAACAATGCGAAATGAAATTGTGTTGTAATGAGGACTTACGTAAGGCAATGGCATTACGAAACCAGTCATTTTCAACTGTCGAGGGATCTTTTACATACAGTCACACATGGGTTTCAGTTGATGGTTCCATCCGAGCAACTTGAGGCTTTTCTCATGCCAGCCCAGTGTATCACTAACCGGTTGAATTCCGAAATCGGGGTCGTATCATGGTCCTTTAGACAAGTGTCTCGGATCTTCCACAAGGTCATTGTCGACTTATACATTTTATTTCACTCATTGGCAGTATATCTCGTATAAAAATGACTTAACTATAAATTTCGAAAATATTATCTTATTTCCATTATTGATTCAAATTGCTGGATTAGAATTTTAAAAACCAGACGGAAAGTTATAAAAACAATTATTATCCGACATCTACACGACAATTTGATCATTCTAACCTAGATACTGTAACGCACTCACATTCAAGAGATAGTGTTATCTAAAAATTAGTTTGCTTTCGTTTGGAAATTTTGTAAAGAAACTTAGGTTGTCCATATACTTATTCCTGAAGAGTCGGGAAGAGTAAACATTATATTCTTATGCTAGCAAGAAATCAGGTGAAATAATAACTAAATGAGATATGAAATAGTTTCGGATGTGTTGAAAGGATGGTGAAGTTTTAAAAGAATTAAATCGGATATCACTAAAAAAAACAGAGAAAGCATAAGAAGATAGATAAAAGTTTTATACTGGGTGCATCACTCTTCTACAATGAGGCACTGTTGTAGTATCTACATTTCAAGAAACACTCCCAAAGGCAGATTTCATCGCCATGATATTCAACATGAACAAATCTGAAAATTTTCAATTATCAAAACAATCCGATTGATGCAGATTTTACTACAAACTACCACGACTTCCAAAAAACTGCCCTGTGTGCAATATCAGCTTTTGCTGGAAACGACGTTAACTTGTAATATACCAACAAGTACCAAGTCTACAATAACAGCTTCTGTCGGAATTGGACGTTAACATGTTATATTTCAAAAACTACCTAGTCTGCAACGTTAACGTTAGCTTGTCAACAACAATCCGACCAGCAGATAACGATATGGATCAGTCGTGGATTTTACCATTTTTTTGAGTGGTACATTATACAATGGCATAATAAATCTACCTATAGCTACCTGACATAGTTACCACTTGTTGGGACCACCCATTTCCTAAGTTTCATTTTGAAACTCGCCATAATTATTTACATGTATATTTGGTATACACCATTGAATATTTTCTTTCCCAATCAATGAATATTGGATTTGCCTACTGTCTGTAACTAGAATTACGCTGCACAGAATTGAATCAAAAACTTACCAATTAGCACAGTTCTGTAAACAACACTCGACCTTCCCGAACAGTGATCGATACTGTCTGCATATTGGAAGCAGTATATATTTTTTCAATTAATACAAAATACGTATTGGCCTATTTGAACAATTGCAAGGTAATGAATAAACACAGCGTCTCACTTCAGTTTTTTTTATTATAGATTTTCAAATGGATTTCTGCTCAAGGATGTTATTGTATTAAATCCACAACAGTAAGAATGATAAGACTTAAGGCCCTTTAGTAAAAATGGATCCAAAAGTTTCGTCATAAGGTCAGAGAAATATCTATTTGGTAGATTTAGATTTTGATTGAATGAATTTTGTGAAACGGGGGCATGGTCCTATAGAAATCATTGAAAGATTTGAAGCATTTTATTTTAGTAACACCAAATTTCCACTCAGATGAAAGCACATTCCGTTCTGGTATCGTTCGAACGGCAGATGATGATGTCATGCAATTAATATGATGTATATACTGTATATATATTGATGTAAAATAGTGAACAAATAGACAGTTCTTTGTGAAATCCACGACCATAACAGTATATAAATATTGTTTTATAATTATGTCTAATGAAAATAGAGTAGTATTATATGTAAATTATTTATAATCAAAATAAAAACATAATATTTAAAATCAATAGGAAGCAAAGCAATAACAGGGTCAAAAAACTGATCTGCTGATAGTAGATCGAGATTATGTGCCCAGCATGATGTGCTTGTCTTAAGTGAGTTTTGCAAGAGATCAGATGGTGAAAGATTATAAATTTCCTTTGTTCTGTCATACCACGGCTAACTACCAACTACCATATTTACAAGCAACTATCAAGTCTGGGATGCCGGCCTCTGCTAGGGCGGAATTAACTTGCTATCAACAATCCAACCATGCAAACTTAAAACACAAATTCCTACTTGAAGGACGAGCCTGGTCATAGGAACTTATGTTGTGTGTCGTTTCTATGGTGTTTTAATGAGCCAAAAGGGGTCTTCGACCAGTAGTAACGCACCTGAACTCTGAGGTTGTCAAATAGAACAAGATCAGCATTACCTTTAATATAATAGACAATGTTAAGAAAATATTGTATTTTCATTAATCTTGATAATAATACAAGTAATCGAATCGGTATATTTTGATTCCAAATATTCCAACAAGATTTCCCGAGGCGGATTTGTTGGTTTTCTATATTGTACAATTGTTATGGATCGGATAGAAAATATTTGAATGCTAAACACTCTTGACCGAGTTGTGTACGTTTCCAGTTTCCTGATGTTTATTGTTTTATTTTTCTTTGGCATAAAACATAGGGCATTACACCTAATGAAAGAGTGAAATAGATCGTTGCGTGTAAGATGTTTCCGCAACACCAGGCAAGAACCATTTCCCTCGGCAGACCTGCTGATGGATGGTACACTGCAATTTGGTTCTCCCTTGGGACATAATCAACCTGGTACCGTGCACCTGATGCCTGCATGATTGTTCCATTTAAGAAATAACCTATCCGGAACGGCAAACAGTAATGTAAATGCTATAAGCTATATCGTGGGATGCAAGATGTATTCCGAATAACAAGTCAGAAACATATCCATGGCAGATCTTGTAATGGATGGTCCAATGCAGCTTGGTGTTCCCTTGGGTATGACATAATCAACCTGGTACACTGCACCTGATGCCTGCCTGATAACTACATTGTCGTTTTCAGGATATAACATTTTCTATAGGACGAAACAACTGATTTCAACTATTGGGGCAATTTCATTCTAAGGAAGATGGTAGTTATCTCGTTTATTTCAATTTCAACACATTAACACAATCAATACCACGTGTGCAGTTCTTCAGTCTAACAACCATGAAGAAGGTTTGAAAAAAATGCAGAACTTTTCCGTTAAAATCTAGCTATTAAGCAGTGGCCATAAAGCAATAGGTGGGG